TATATAAACTCTGTTCATCTGGACCCTATTAATTACGTGCAATAAAAAGATATTACTAAGTTAATTCATATCAAATCATGTAAATAAAATGAAACACACCTATTTAATGAATCACATGGTTACCAAAAGAAAATATAAATAAGCAACTATGGACCCATGATATCAATATCGTATTATCATTTGACATAAATTCAAACTATTTGAAAATTAATGTTATGGGTTTGGTACAATTTTTACCGATGGTAATAATATCTCACATAAACTTCACCTAAGTTTTTGCACTTTTTATATTTTTTACCTAAGAGGTAGGGTGTGGTGATGTTTTTACCTACCAATTTTTCACTTTTTTTAATTAAAAAATCTAAATAACTACATAAACATAAAAATATATACTAATTAAAATAACATAACATTTCATAAATTGAAAACATTACATTTGATTTAACAATCATAAAATGAAAATTAAATTAACTAACTTAATTAAATATTTCAATATGAATATTCACCGATATCATTGTCAATTGACTCATTTAAATTAATTTCATTAACCCGATATATGTCTTCCGCCAAATCGTTGCGAAGCTCGTGGTGTTTTTGATTGTCACGTATCGACCTTCTTTTGAGAAGCATCTTTCGCGTCCTAGGTTGGATTTCTTCTTCTTTTTCTTCTTCTTCTTCTTGTACTGTATCCATAATCCCTTCCCATGATTTCACAACAGTCTGACCAACGGTTAGCAACAACTTACAATTTTCTAATGGATTTGCCATTTTTTTGAGATGATTTTTTAGAAAATGTATGTAAATGTATAAAATAAATAATATAGGTTTGAGTGAATATGTTTGATTTATGTTTGTATATACAGTGGTAAGGAAGGAAATTTGAAAAAAAAATGGCAGCAATTATCACAAAAACGGGCAAAAAATATCCAAACGTTCCAATTTTTCAAACTTTTAACACCGACCGGTACTTCACCGGCGATATATATAGGGGAGAGGGGCGGTGTTCACCGCCGGTAAAACGGTCCACATCGGACTACCGGCGGTTATATCCGCACGACACCCTTAGCCTAAGTGCACAAATGTGTTTGTAATAGAAAATGATATTTACACACCTTAGGTTACTACTTTTGACATTTTTTATCTTTTAAATTGTCTACCGATAGTTATGAAACTATTAAGTTTTCTCTTTTGTGGTTATTTTGTATCAACTGTATTGTGGCCCAGCCTTGGTTTTTCTTGTTAATGTTTCAAAAAAATATATATATTAAAAATAATCGGTCAACCCATAGGGGAAAAAAGTCAACCGTCAATTGTTTGGATGTAATGAAGTTCGTTATGAGATCACGCTTAAGATACCAACACCCAAATAAATTGAGGGTCCAAATCCACGCACAATTTCTGAAATTTACAGACTTTGAAATCATTCCCGATCAAAATTTTTAATTAATCCATCCCATCACCTCTCTCCCTCTCTCTGTATATACATGCATGTATAGGTGTCAATTCATATCATCACCTGCGATTTCGTTTTGTTTTTTGTGTATCGATAGGCGAAGAGAAAATTAGTGTCTACGCATTACAGATTTATGAAATTGTGATGATGAGAAGATGTCGAGCACTGAAGATTCAGAAGATTATTCATATGGCGGACGTCGATTTCAAAGGGTGAAGCAGAGGCTAAAAGATCGATCCAGGGTACGTATGTATTGTCAATTTCTTCGTATTGAATCGATTTGATACATTTATTCATTTGTCTGTTAGAGAGTCGCCCAAACAAAAGAAAAAACAAAGGAGATATTGTCCAAACAAGCTGTGAAGATAGCCAAACATGCTGAAGAACATGAAAGCTTCATCACCAAGGTACATACATATAAACACACATAGAAATACATACAGTCATACACAGATGTATATATGTATGTATAGAATGTGCATAATTAACAATTACAAATTTAGCATTTCATGATTAACCTTACATGGTAGAATTGTTTGAATAAATTGCTTTCTTTTTTCTGGTTTTGTAGGTAACTCATTTTTTGGGTGTCTTCGCATATGGGGCATTTTGTTTCATATTGGGTGCAAGTGAGTAAAATACGTTTTGGGATGATTTTTCTTTCTTTCTTTTCTTTGTGTTAATTGATGTCTAGAAATTGGCATGAATGATCTTTAGTTTTATTTAGTGCTTGTTAATGTCTTGTTTTTATTGTCTTAGGGCCCCAAGATGTTCGATATATTTACATTTTGTTCTACATCACCTTCGTTCCTCTTCGATGGATTTACTATCGGTATAAGAAATGGCACTATTATCTTTTGGTACGATCATTAATTTCTATCACTCATTCACTTTATCTGTTTGTTTTATTGGTGTAAGAAGAAATAAAGATGTGATCGACCGACTCTTATATATGCCAAAACGTAATGCATCTATATATGCAGGATTTCTGCTACTATGCCAATACCCTGTGCTTGATCATGCTTTTATTCTTTCCTCGAAATCAAAAGCTTTTCATGGTTACCTTCTCATTTGCAGAGGCAAGCGCATTCTCTCAACTCTCATGCATATTTATATATTTACGTATCTACAATAAGCAAATTTAACCCATAGTTAAAATGCATTATTAGTAGATCACTACTGAGTTGACTCACAATTTACGGTTGATACTCTTATGTAGGGACCGCTAGCATGGGCGTTGATCATTTGGCGTTGTAGCTTGGTTTTTAGTTCAGTTGACAAAATTGTAAGCGTCCTTATACATCTTTTACCAGGTGAGTTTGATTAAATTTGTTTAAAATTGGGAAAGACACATTTCCCAAATTTCTATTTTAACTCAAGTAAGTTTTGATATTTTTCTCAAGCTAACCATTTTTTTCGTCCTTTTGGGTTGTATATGTGTAGGTGTGGTTTTCTTTACGCTATGCTGGTGGGACCCGGAATTCTTCGAAGCCATGTATCCAGAGGGACATGCACATGCACGAGGAGTTTCATGGCGTAGTGTAGAAAGCCAATCGTTCCTGTGTACATGGCTATTCACAGTTCCTTTGTTTGCTTATGGCATTTGGCAGCTTCTTTATTTTCTTATAGTAAATGTCCTTCGTCGACAGCGCCTCTTAAAGGATCCTGAAGTCATGACTTCCTACAGGTTAATTAATATATCTCTAAATTCTCTAACATCACATGCATGGATATATCTACCCTTTCTTTTAAACGGTTTTTTTGGAGACCGAATTTATTGTTGTCACTGTTTGGTATTCAATTTTCTTAAAATAAATTTCCAAAAAATTCAAATGGGTTATATATATATATATATGTAAGGTTATCAATCTATTAATTTGATAATAAATTTTCATAAAGGTTTCAAATGATTTGATTTTTTTCACAAATGCACCAAAATATGACATTTAATTATGGAAAAACATTATTTTATAAAATATATAATATTTATATATTCATATTAAATTTTTATTT